CTGATTCAGAGCCTTCCGCCACTGCAATCTTCCGCATGAGATACATAGGAGACTCAGGCCACTAGCAGCAGTTCCTGGTCCACCTTCCCAGAGCTTAAAGGTTCTCAGTCATCAAGAGCAGATCCTGGACAAGGATCGCATCTCCCAGCCTTCCCCACTAAGCCTCATATGCCTCTCTGTGTAGCTGTTGCCTCTTGGTCCATATTCTCAGTGCCTTCTCCATTTGCTCTGAGGTCTCTCTCATGTGATGGAGCCTGCCACCCCTGGAGAGCTTTCTGATGGGATTGCAGGAAGGGATGTTTGGGAGTGGGCAACTGTGACAGCTGGAGGGAACAAGATCCTTCAATGAACAGAGTTCTGTCAGTAGCAGCAGCAGCAGCAGCAGCAGCAGCAGCAGCAGCAGCAGCAGCAGCAGCAGCAGCAGCAGCAGCAGTGTTAAGAGTAACTGGTAAAAACTGCCCAGAGATCAGCAAGCCTGCATTCTAGGGTTGGCTCTGCCCTGAACCAGCTAGGGGTCTTGCAGGGAGTAGGGTCTTCCCTGTGCCCCAGCTCCCAGTTATTAGAAGACACAGTTTCTAGCGTCCTCTCCAACTCTGGAGCCTGGTGATAAAGAAAGCTGAGAGTCACATAGATGGGGGAAGCTCACCTCTTGTCACCACCAGGCGGATGGTTTTTATAACAGTGATTGTTCCACGATTGTCATGGATCCCACAGTAATAGAGACCCGAGTCTCTCACTGTGCTTGCAGTCATGATGACAGTGAAGTAGTGAGAGTCAGGATGGTTCCAGATGAAGAATTTTGGCCCCTGAGCTTTTGTGCTGAGACCGGACGCTAACACTTTACAACTTTCTGTTGATGTTTGCTGACACCACACCTTCATCATGTTGGCGTGTTGGCTGCGATCATACCGGCAATTCACAAGAAAGGTCTGGCCCTCCACTGCTTGCAACAACTCTGTGTCCTCTGTGCAACAGCCTGGGAACACACACACTCTTCAGGTCAGAGAGTCCCCCCAGTCTGCACAGCAGGGCTAGGAGATGGGCTCCCTTCTCAGGGAGTGACCCTCTTTGTGTCTATGTTCAGGATGCAGCTTAGAGCCAGTTGCTGGCCACAGCACAGCATGTGTTCAGCCTTTCTAATAGAGCCCCATTTTGCACCCCTCCAACCCCTTCCCTTTCCTCTCCCTGGTTCCTTCCTTCTATCCTTGTCCCCTGTCCTCACCTGAGACCAGGAGCACCAGCAGGATGGTGGATAGCAGATATGTGTCCTCCCAGGCCATGGGTCCTCTTCTCGAGCTATAGGGGAGCAAGCAGGGAAGGAGGGAGGGATGCTCTGAGGAGAGGAGACCAGGGCAGGGCAGGGTCCAGGCAGCCCCCACAGCCAGTGCAGGGTGAACTGCTGAGGAAGCCGGGACCTCTGAGGACAAGATGGAAGCTGAGCAAGGCCTGTGTGGCCCTGTTGCTCTTCCAGTACAGGCTTTGTGCGGAGGCTTCTGAAATGAACTAGATAAAGGGACACAGAGAAGGTGTAGTCTTCTGTCTTAAAGACCAGGGTGAGAAATGCTGAGAAAGCTCAGGAGGTAACCAAAGTAAATTAAGAATGTGCTCATTTCTCTTCAGCACCACCCACAATTCCCCCACTTCCTCTTTAGCCTCAAGTTTGTGTTTTCCACCCAAATCTGGCTCCCGCTGAAGGCAGGTGAGAGAACCAGAGGCCTTTGGGGACCTGGCTAGAACTCTAAGACCTCCTTGCTCTCAGGAGTCAGACTTTGCTGATTAGCTCACCAGGGAACCAGGAAGTTCCATGTGGACTAGAGGGGATGAGGAGAAGGGGTGGACAAGCATTCTCAGGAATGGAAGAGCAAGGGGGTCCTGCTTAGTGTGGGAGACCCCAAATCTGGGTATGAAGGGAGAGAGCTCAGAAGGAGGGAAGTCTCCAGGGTCCTTCATACCCTTTGCACTCACACTGAGACCCTGCTTCCCAGCTCCTCTGCATCCTGGGACTGCCAGTGATGGGGACAGGTGACCCACATTTGGGACTCTTGTGGTACCTTTGCAGGTTGGAGTTTCTTCAGAGAAACTGGGTCACTGGAGTCAGGCTTGGAGGTTGTATGGTTGGGTCCCACTTTGTGTTCCTTATCTGCTTCCTGAGTGCAGAGGAAGTGTTTCTAGCCTGCTTCCTGCACCTGCCAGCGTGTCTTCCCTTCTGAGATGATTGTACCCTTCTCGAACTACGAGCCAAAATAGATCCTGTGTCCCTTAAATTGCTTTTGTTAGCATCTTTTACCATAGCAATAAGGAAGTAGACACAACTCAAACAAATGTCAAACCCAAGAAACCAGGCTACTGTACTCAAAACATTTTGAGTAAATTCACATGGGCCACCATAGTGAGAGCCATGAGGAGCACACCTGTGAGCATCCCAGTGAGCACTCCTGTGAGCACTCTCATCAGCACACCCATGAGCACTCCTATGAGCACAACTGTCAGGATACATATTAGTACACCTGTGAGCACACCCGTGAGCACTCAGGCCTTCTGAGTTTCTCTCTGTCATTCACAAACTGCAGGTAGAGACAGCACCTACCTTGCAAAGTCCTTGAGAAGATTCGTGAGATACTGTATTGAAAAGTTTGGTGCTCAATAAATATGCGATATTAATATTCAATGTAAAATCGTAGTGGACACATAGATCAATTGGTAGACCACTTGCCTAGCTTGCAGGAAGTACTGGGTACAAACTCCAGGGCCACATAAACTTGGCATGGTGTCACACACCTGTAATTGTAGCACTCAAGATGTGGTGGAGGATCTGAAGTTCAAAGTCATCCTTGGTTCATGAGAATTCTAGTTTTTTACTTAAAATATCTATCTCTTATCTACATACAGAGGTATGACATCTTTAGTGATTATTTGTTCTTAAAGGGGACCTCATCAATTTAAAAATAAAATCTCATTGTTTAAATGAGGGTCACAAGCTGTGATGGTGTAATCCCCATACCGGGTATGCTGAGGCAGGAGTATTGTGGTTTTAAGGCCAGCTTGGGCCATATGGTAAGATCCTGTCTCAAAAACACCAAACCAAAAAAAAAAAAAAAACAATAAAAACAACAACATAAAAAGAAAACAATCCTCCCTCCATGCACACAAAACCCAGGTATTGGGTTCTGGAGAGATAGTTCCATGGTTAAGAGAGAGCACTGATCTTACAGAGGACCCAAGTTCATCTTAAGAACCCATTAGCATCAACCCAGCTCCAGGAGCCAATGCCCTTTTCTGGATTTCTAAGGCTCCTGCACACTCACAGGTGTATATACCTCCGCCTTCTGGATTCACATAATTGAAAATAAAATTAAAAAAAAGAAAACAAGGGCTGGGTTCCCCTCAGTGTCTGAATATTTACTTATCATGAACAACAGCTGAGTTGGTTTCATACCCTCAACATGAAGGAGAAAAGGGTTCATGTTGCTGGGCTGGAGAGTTGGCTCAGTGGTTAGAGCACTGTTGCTCTTGCAGATGACCTGATTTTGCTTCCCAGCATCCACAAGGGGACTTAGAACTCTCTGCAAGTCCAGTGCCAGGGGGTTTGAAGCCCTGTGTTGTGATGAGCTTTTCTCTGTTTTGTCAGTCATCTCCTAAATAATGACATGGGGATTTCTTATTAATTATGAAAGCTTGGCTTTTAGTTTACACTTGTCTCAACTAGCTCTTATAGCTTAAATAAACTCATTGATATTAATCTAAGTTTTATAATGTGGCATTAATTCTCTTCCATCTTGCACCCTGTGTTTCCTCTCTGTGTCTCCTTAGCATCTACCATGAGCCTCATCTCTCTTCTCTTGCAGAATATTAGTTGAAGATGTTTATACCATGAAATATTTGTTTAAATGATGCAAAGGTGCATTGCATTCTTTTATGTTGCATTTGTTTAACTCTGTG